ACAATAATACAGTGATGGCTAGAGGTGCACACTGTAGCACCCATTCTTAATCCGCTGCCCTCTGAGTTTTTACAGCCACCTCTCCACACCAAGGTTTATGCATCATCCAGACCTCTAGCTCTGAAAAGCGTCTTGGAAACACCTTTCCATACTTGCACTCCAGGCAAGAGTCCTTCCCAGGCACAAAACAGCAAGATGCTTCTTCTACAGTGTGGTTCCAGTGTTGATATATAAGGGAAGAGCAACAGACATCATATAAGTTGACTTGTGCAAAGCATTTGACACTATCCCGCACAACACTCTTGTCTCTAACTTGGAGAGACATGGATTTGATGGATGGACTACTTGGTGAATAAGGATTTGGATGGATGGTTACAGTCAAAGAGTTGTGGTCAACAGTTCGATGTCCAAGTGGAGAGCAGTAATGAGTGACATTCCTCAGGGGTCAGTATTGGGACTGGCACTGTTTAACATCTTTGTCAGCGACATGAACAGTGGAATTGAGCACACCCTCAGCACGTTTGCTGATGACACCAAGTTGTGTGGTACAGTTGACACGCTGAAGGGAAGGGATCCAGAATGACATCCAGAGGGACTGTGACAGGCTTGAGAGGTGGGCCTGTGCAAGCCTCATGAAGTTCACCAAAGCCAAGTGCAAGGTCCTGCACGTGGGCCGAGGCAATCCCAAGCACAAATACAGGTTGGGTGAGAAGTGGATTGAAAGCAGCCCTGCAGAGAAGGACTTCAGGGTATTAGTAGATGGAAAACTGGCTATGAGCCAGCAATGTCTGCTCACAGCCCAGAAGGCCAATCATATCCTGGGTTGCACCAGAAGTGTAGCCAGCATGTCAAGGGAGATGATTCTCTGCCTCTGCTCTGCTCTCATGAGACCCCACTTGCAGTGCTGTGTTCAGCTCTGGGTCCCCTAACATAAGAAGGAAATGGACCTGCTTGATCAGGTCCAGAGGAGGCCACAAAGATGATCAGGGGACTGGAGTACCTCTCCTGTGAGGCCAGGCTGGGAAAGTTGGGGTTGTTCAACCCGGAGAAGAGAAGGATCCGGGAAGATCTTATAGCAGCCTTTCAATACTCAAAGGGGGACTACAGGAAAGATGGGGAGTGACTCTTTACCAGGGAGTGTAGTGACAGGGTGAGGGATAATGGCTTTAAAGTGAAAGAGAAGATTTAAATTAGATATAAGGAAGAAATTCTTTCCTGTGAGGGTGATGAGACACTGGCACAGGGTGCCCAGAGAAGCCGTGGCTGCCCCCTCCCTGGAAGTGTTCAAGGCCAGGTTGGACGGGGCTTTGAGCAATCTGATCTAGGGGAAGGTGTCTGTGCCCATGACCACACTAAGTTCTGGGACTTCCTCATCAGCATCCGTTGGCCCTGCAGTCCATGCCCCTGGAGAAGCAAGCTCAACAGGAGACCCATTTTTAATTCCTTGTCCCACCGCACCTTTACGAAGTGCACCACTGGCCATCATATACCAGCTCTGTGGGTGCTTTCAGGTGTGCTGAGTGCTACTGAGGATGTTCTGCCCTATGGCCCCCTTAGTCCTCTTTTTTTTTCCTGTTGTTTTGTACATTTCTGTCCTTCCAACCCCTTCCTTTCTTCATTTGTCATCCACTGTAGTTATTTGGCTTTCTCCTTCTGTAATCCACCCTCTGTTTTTTTCTTGTTTGGTTTTTTTTTTTTAAACAGAAATATTGAGGTGTCTAGAGGTGATTTGGTTTCTCCACAGTAGAGGAAAATCAATCAAAGCAGTGGCCGTGAGGGGCAGGGGTTCTGTCCCTGTACATCTCCTGCATGGCCATGGGTGGGGACGGCTGGCTCAGCAGCTCTACTCCTGTGCTGTCTTCTGCATCCCAGAGGAGAAGGAGATTGCACCCACCTCCAACGTTAACACACTGCACCACCAGTGCCACCACTGCATTGTCTCTGCTGCCACCATCCACATCACTGCTGCTGGCCTTCCACCCCCCTCTGCCCCAAAATGTGTGGGGCCGCTGCAGGGCACCACCACCCACACCTGGCAGCCAGACCCTCAAGACTTCAGGGGTGGGAAGGGCTGTTTGATGGGACCAGCTGCTATCCCTGGGGTAGGCATGGACAACCTTGGGCAGATCTGCTGTGTGCTGCCAATTTCAGTCTGCAAATGTGCTCTAGGGAGGTCTGGGAAGCACTGTTACAAATTACATATCATGTCTGTACATACAAAACAAACAAACAAACAAATAAGAAAATAATCTCCATACTAGATAATGAAACTTCAAGATAGAAGGTACACATTTGTCACACTGAAAGAACTAGTGATGCTGAGAGGGACTTCTGTGACAAAAAGCCATATGAAATAAAGCAACTTTAGAAAAGATGTATATGTAGTGAATACTACTTTTTCTTCCTTATAGCTTCAGTCTGTAGGTAATGATCGTTCAAGAGGTCATGGCTTCTGTAGCCATTGTTCTTAAATGTATCACATACATGTAATTTGCCGTGTAGAATTTCCACATTAACAATAAGTGCTAATTACACTGTGGAAACCAAGACAACCTCCCTTGTCCCAATTCACGCAGGCACACTGTAAAGAACTCTAAATATTTCTAAATCTGTTCCTTAGTGTAATCAGTGTCTGGAGTTCTATGCAGTCCTGTGGTAATAGGGAGTAAAAAGCAGGAAGAGCTTTAATGATCCTATATTAAAATGTACTTTGAGCATTATGTGTGAAAGAAGAGGTCCCTGAGAAGACATTATATACCAGACCAAATATGTACTGAATTATAATGGAGCCTTCTTAACCATAGCACCGTTTCCAAGCTGCTAGCATCCTATGCTAGATTTGCTTTTTCTGGAGAAAACACTGCCCCCAGACAAGCTTTGCCTCCTCAGCACGTCTTAGGTGCTAGATGCTGCCACCACTCCTGATCTGACGACATAATTACTCATAACAGGTCTAGTCAAGATGACACACATTCAGATCTGGCTACAAATTAGTGTGACAAAACCCCCTCTGCCCCAGTGCCTCCCCTTTAGTTCAACACAAGTGTCATACAAAAAAGTAGACCTGAATCCAAACCAAACACCATTGAGAAACCAGCCAGCTTCACTCAGAGATGACTTAGGCCCCTAAGAGACAAGACACCGGTCTCTGAAGTCAGTGGCTGCTCTACTGGGTGAAAAATAAATAGTTTTTGTTCTCAGTAACTGAAAACGTAACTGCAGAGCTAAAAGAAACAGAGTTCTTAAATTCTTAATATAACTACTTCTGATATTTGTATATACTGTGGACCCCAAAATTCTGGAGGAATGTCTTTATTGTGAGTTTATACAATCACAGCCCACCATCTGTATCTGTCTTCTAGGATGTGTAATTCTAAATGCTTTCAGTCTAAACAGATTCAACATTATTACTTCTTGAATCCTTACTAATATTAAAAGGATATAAAATTATATGGAAAAACAAAACAATGAATGTTCCAAAACTATATAAAAAGCAAATGAATGAATCCTTAAGCATTAAACCACCAGCATTCCCTCACATTATATTTCACTAGAGAGATGATCTCCTCTGCAAATAATTTCTTCCCTTTTCAAATAAGATACAGCAATCATACTTTTAAACAGTGGAAACAAAACAGAAAGAAAACTGCAAGGTTTGCTTGGCTCTCCAGGGACAGCTTTTGATGTAGTCTTTAATTTAGGTAATCAGAGAGTTACAGGTGTTCACTTTAAGGTATATTTTGCAAGCTCTTCTTCAAAAATATAATCCGTTCTTATAAGTTACAAAGTCTTTATCCACAAGTATTTTAGGTCCTGATACAAACACCACTGACACTGATGGCTGCTGAAGAGTACCTTCAGGTGGAATCAAACAATTTACTGAATTGGCTAAAAAAAGGAAATAAAATATTATGCTCTATAAAAATAGGATACAAAATTTTAAAGAAATGTTACTGTAAGTGTGAGGATACATTACTAAACTCAAGCAATACAAAATCAATGTAATACATTGGTTCAGCTTAAAATCTGAGAAAAGAAAATGTGGTAATTCCTATGGAGAAGGAATTAAACTCTTTCATTTCTGTCTTAAAAAAAAAAAAAAAGACAAAAAAAAAAAAAAACAAAAACAAAACAAAAAAAAAAAAAACAAAAAACAAAAAAAAAAAACCACATGCTTAGATGCACAGTCCAACAGCCACCCAGTTGCTATAAATCCCTTAAGTACCTATTTGTAGTAATTGGGGGGAACAAATTGGGGTCCAGCTCTTTGTTTCTTCCTAATTTGACAAGTACTGAAGATGGAAGTGTTGCTTTCTAGTTTTTTTGGGGGGGGGAGTTCATTTTTTTTCTTCTTCTTTTTTTTTTTCCTTCTCTAAGTTTAGAAGAAGCCAAAATTAATAGTTTGAATGAAAGTTTAAAACGGATAATTACAACAGAACAGTTTGATACCTCTGAATTCCCAGAGCCTGAACTAGCTCTGGCAGTCACCTTTGGTAACCTGCTCTTCTACTGGAGCACAAACAGACATACACCCACACCCCACACACTTTCTCAGCAGAAAGAAACAAATAGATTAAAAAATATCTCTGTGCTTGACTTGATTTAAGCTGCTCACTGCCTGTTGACATACCACTGTAGTTTGGCATGGGTCATATTTAGCATCTAAAACCTTCCTCTAATGAATAAGATTTCAATACATGGGCTGTTACAGGACCATCCCAGAGGTGCAGAAGCCAGGACTAAACCCAGTTCTTGCAGCTGGCACCCTTGAAGCTGGAGGCCCGTGCGCATCCATTTCCAGAAACCCTTTAATTTAAGCTAGTACCAGACTTACCATCAGTCAGTGAGGGAAGGAGAAGCACGGGCACTTCACAAATTGAAATGAGGGGACTGCAAACCAGGGATACCTTGTCAGAGGGGTGCTTTACCTTTCATGCCAGGTCCAGCTAGCCTTAGCCCAAGCTGCAGAGAGCTGAGAAGGGGCAGCCCAGCTTTCCTACCTGTCGGCACTGAGGGCAGTGAGGGTGAAGACAGAGACACCAACAGAGGTGAGCTGGATGGCAGGGATGAGCTTGCAGCCCACCTCCCCAAAGAGCCACTCCTCAGAGAAATACCGGGAGGCATCCACGGGCACACAGGTCACTAGCAGCAGCAGGTCACCGGCAGCGAGGCTGGAGATGAAGATGTTGGGCACACTCCTCATGGCACTGTTGGAGATGAAGATCTTCATGAGGGTGACGTTGCCCAGCAAGCCCACAGTGATGATGAGCAGGTAAAGCGAAGGGATCACACAGCGGACAGTGAACATGGCTGTGCCCCGCCCCGGGGGCAGCAGGGCCGTGTCTGGCACCAGCTGGGCACTCCCGTTCCCCCCGAGGGGCATCGCTGTGAGCTCCGGCGGCAGCTCTGTCTCCATCCTCCAGCTTCGGGCAGAAGGAGGGTCTCCGTCGCAAAGTGCAGCGGGAGCCACTGGAAAGCTTCACCTCCCCGCAAGTCAACCAACTTTCTCCCCCTTCCCTCCTGTCTTTCTTCCTCCTCCCCCTTTTCCTCTGCCGAGTTTTCTCCCCCCCCACCACCACCCCCGCCCCAGAAATGCAGAGGAAGCGCTGTCCGCCGGCGCAGTGGGGGCGTGGGCTGTGGAATACAGGATCCCGTGCCGCTCCCGTTCAGGTCTTTGGACAAGTCCTCTCCCGGGTGGGCAGGAGGGCGAGACGCTGAGCCTGAGGGGCAGCGACCGCCATCGGGGGGGGGGGGGGGGGGGGGGGGCAGCGAGCCTGCCGTGCCCCCGGGGCCGCAGCGGCCGCCCCCCCGGGGCCGGGCCCGAGGCCGCCGGCGCTGTCCAGCGGCTCCGGTGCTGCTGGCCCCGCGGCCGCGGGCGGCGGAGCCGGAGCCGGGGGCCAGGCGCAGCCCAAGCCCGCTCCTCACTCCGCGGCCGCGATTTATACCTGGTGCCGGGCGGAGCCGCCCCGCCTCTCCTCCTGCGAGCGCTGGTGCCCTCGCCCCAGCCGCCGAGGCGGATCTTGCGCGGAGGAGAGGCGCGGGTCCCGGAGCCGCCGCGGGTCCCGGAGCCGCCGCAGCTCCCGCGGGGTCCCGGCCCCTGAGCGCGGTGGGGAGGGCTGGGCGGGAGGCGGCGGCGGCGAGGGCGAAGGCGGGGGCTCTCCCGCGGCCGCTGCCCCCCGCAAGCAGCCCCCCGAGGGGCGCTGCCCGCCACGTCGGGCGGAGGGCGGGATCGCCTCCGGGAAGCCCGTCTTCCAGCGTCTCAGCCGGGTGAAACCGCGGCGGTTTGAAAGGCAGGGTGATGGGGGGCGAGGAGGGGCTCGGAGGTGAAGAGATTTCATTCCTGTCACCCAGCTTTAGGTTCTGAATAGATCCCACTCGAAGACATCGAGTGCTTTTAAAGTTTTAGGGTTTGATTCTCAAAGTTGCATTTCACATTAGTCTAGACTGTGGGAATGAGGACAGGTGATGTGTTTTATCCATGACTTACTATGCAAATGGTATAATACAGTGGAGAATAAACATTGTTTGCCTCTTCAAAGCGGAGCATTTGTCCCTAGTGTTTCTTGCTTTTCAGTGAGGTAATACCTTCCTAGTGTCTGCACATGTATAGGCTTTCCAAACAGCCCCATCTGTTTCCAGCAGAAGCCATGAATATAGGTAGCAGTGCAAATACGCTGGAAGAAAGGCAGACCTACTGGACTGAAGTTTTCAAGAGAAAGAGCTCAGACAGAGGAATAACAGCACTTGCCAGTAACATGCCCTGCAGACTGAATCCCTTCCTCTTCTCAAAAGGGAGGATATATGAGCTTGTAGTGAACTTGTGCATTCATATTATTAAAACACTTCTCTTGAAGCCCTGCTGGTTATGACAGGAGTATGGAGAATGTAAATGAATGCATGGGGGCCTTTCTGAAGTGGGAGAGTTTGACCACTGAAATATCAGAAGCAAAGCATGACACGTGTGCCATAATACACAGCCTGTCCATGGCATGCTGTCTGGTGTAGAAATTAAATTTAAAAGTCATCTGCAATTTATCTTAAATAACTTTTTACCAAGTTTATCGAGCAAAAAGTATTATTGCTTCTTAAAAGTTACATATTTCTATAGATATTGGTCTTTGTGACTCTTCTCACTTCCCTGAATTTATAAATGTGTGTAATTTACAGTTGTGTAAATTACTGATTCATATAATGCTGATTAGTTTATCAGAAAACCCAGCCAGTGCTAGTCCTCCAAAAAAATCAGGCTACAGACTTTACTAAAAGTAAAGTCTAGGCAGATGGTTGGAATCATCACAGAGCTCATCTGGAAGTGATTCTTGTCACTGATCAAGCTTCCTCTACACATTGCTAAATTCAACTACACTCTCTCTGAGTCAGCCTTACCATCAGCCTGGATACTTATCACAGTAGCTGGGATCTTCTATCTTGCTGAGTGCACATGAAGTTTTCTAAGACCATCAGTATTCAGGTTTCTGCAAACAGTCTGAATCAGTCTTTTTGGTTCCCATTGTTTGGATACAATGTGTGTCTTTAACACTGTGACCCCAGAGTACAGTCCTTTTACTAATTTATTTGAAAATTAGTTTATATGTGGGAACAGTCAATATGATTTCCATTGGAATAATAGTTTAAAGTCAAAATGTCTTTAATATTTATTACCTGGAACAACAGGAAGCTGAGTATTTTTTCATGAATATCAACAGAATAACACCTTAAAAGCTTCTGTTGGCATAAGCTTATTGCAGATTGCATGGAGCGAGGTGAGACCCCTTGCTTTTTGTTGCACAACACCCTCACTCCTACTGCTGCCCTCCAAGAGAATTTCTTCTATCCTAGTAAGTTTTACCTGTTCTTCAGTCCACAGGATGGAATTCCTAAGGTTGATGAATTAAGAACAAATTCAGTGGGAATTTATGTTCCTAATTTTTCCTAGTACTTGATTTTATCTACTTTATGTTTTCAGAACTCTGAACAGCAAGGAAATAAGCTTTGGAGACTGTGAGTATCTCCAGCTCAAAGGAAACAGAAAGTTAGATTATGCTTCTAATGTCATTCAACGGATGTCTGTGTAAAGACAAGGGAATATACTCAAACAGCATGAATATCATTTCCTGCAGAGGTGAAAAGGAGAAGGAAAGGATTCACAGACCCTGACATAAACCAGCTGGAATTCAGAGCCCCACACACAAACTGTTCATCATTCTCTTTTCAAACAAAAGAATCCATCTGACTCTCTGGATGTTATTTCAGATTAGAGAGACAATCTAATTGTGCAGCTGTGACACAGTACTTTGCACAAGAGCAAAGGAGAGAGCACCACAGGTAAGTCTCCTTAGCAAGAAAGAAACAGTTCATGAGCCAGAGCAGATGGAGCCTATCTGGAAGTGCAACACCACAGGTCAGGAACTGCAACAACTTGGAAATGTGGCAGGCAAATCTGCTTCATCAGTAATTCCCTAAGGTGGAGATGCAAAACCAGTCCTTGTAGGCACGAGGAACTCCACACATCTCACAAACGCCCTCTACTGAGAACTGCTTCTAGAAGGCAAAAAGGCTCCTTTCACGTGTTGGTGCAGCTCAAGGCTCTTGACACTTCTAAGGCTAATTCCAGATTTGCACATCACAACACACTTCATGTAGTCCCTTGAAGAGCCAAGCATATCTGCCACCAAAACTACCTGCAGTAAGTAGCCTTTAATTAAGTATGCATGCTTGCAAACTTGATGAGAACTGTGTTCAAATGCAACCCTGGAAGTGATCATGTTTGAAGACCCCTTCATCAGTCATGCATTAAAAAGAAATAAAGCAACAAAAAAGTAACAAATACTATTTGATTCTAAACACTGAGCATTAGGAACCAAACCTGAGAGAAATGTTTGTAGTATCTCGTGTTAGACCAGCAGATACCGCTGGCAAAAGTAGACATGCATCGTAGCAGAGAGTGACTTCTCCCAGACTGTCAGATGCACAATAAGATTAAGTAAGCCATGTCTTCTCTCCTGCTACTTGAATACAGGCTTTCTTAATTTGGTGGAGGGATTTTTTTGGCAGAGACTTCCATTACCTTTCAGCTTTTGAAGTCAGGAGCTCTATTTAAAGGACGACAAGAAGATACAGAAACAGATCACTTCCCCTATCCCCAGGTTTCTGAATAGATAACAGGGTTTTCTAGTGCTACTATGTGGGTAGCTGGAAATGAGCCCAGGAAGCATCTGGAAAGAGTAGGTAGAGTTGGAGAAAGAAGAGGATGGAGACAAGGGCCCTCTACCTGAGTATGAAACACTCCATGTTGTGGACCCTCCGAGGAGGACAAATGTTCAGCTTCTAAGGCCACATCTCTAAGGCCAGACCTGAAACTCTAAGGTTAGACATCTCAACATCAAACCTCTACTACTCTTTTACTAGTAAAATAGCACTGAAAGTTAATAATGTCATAGGTGATGCCGGTGCATTCCCTGGGAGAAATGGATATGGGAAGAATTACTCTGAAAATAACTGTTGTGGATTTGTGTAGAGGAAGTCACAAATGGCATAAGCTAGCAAAGTAGAGATGTTCAAAAGAGAAATGCTGAGTTCAACTGTGGCTGCTCAGGGATAAGCTCTAAGAAGCAGCTAACTTATATAAAACGTGTCAGATGTGTGCCACACAGCCCTTTCCCCTTCAAGACTCCAGAGAACAGAAGAAGTAGCTACACTCTATGGCCAGAGCTGAGCTGTGTCCGCTGGCAGTACTATGTCCTTGGAGCACTGGGCTGCAAGCAGCAGTTCGTGCCCTCCCAGGCCTGTCAAAGCTGCAACAAACACCAATACGGAAATTTCTCTTTGTTAAGTCTGCATGACTGGACATGGTAACTGTAGAAAAGAATGGTAGAGTGATTCATCATGCCTATTTCTTAATTTTTCAAAATATGCTTTTTAGATTAAACAGACTTTGCATTAATTAAAAAAAAAATAAAAATAAAAGTGAGGAAGAAACTTTATGGATGACACATCTCCCTAGACTGAGCACCATGGCTGAGCCCCTACCCTTGTGCAATAAACTCGAAATCTCTTTAGTCTGTCCTTCTCAACTCCCAGACTTTGCATCCTGCCCACTACTCTTCGTGCTAAACACAAACCAGGAGGCAGTCGGGAGGATCTGAGGAAGTCCCCTGACTCCTAAGCCTCCCATCCTAACTGAAGGTGAAGTAACCTCCGTCTCAGGTCCAAATCACAGTGGAGGCACCAGTCTGAAGCTAGTAGAGGCCACCACTGGGCTTAAGCTTCAGCGTGGGGAACTCTGCAAACAAAATTGGAAATTCAGGTGATTCCAGCACTAAACAACACTGGAAATCTGGCACAAGAGACTGTTCTCCAAGATTTAGGCATGCAAGCTCTCTTAGCAGACAAAAACTTATCTTACTGATACCCATTCATTTTTTGTGCCATTTCATTTTGTGCCTTTTTCATGATGCCATTTTTTCATGGCAAAAGGTGCCATCGCATTTAACCACACTAATAAAGCAACGAACTGGGTGCTTAACGTTAAACACGCAGTTTGTCTCTCTAAGCACAAATGCAGCTTTATGCATGCACTTAGTTTCCATTTGTTTAGCTGTGATTATTCAGTAGGACTTCAACTCATTGAAAGGTTAAAGAGCACACTGCTGAGTTGCAATCCTGAGCTGAAAGATACACTTATGACTCACTTAGAAACAAGTGTGGTATCAACATCTTCCATCCCATTTGCGCATGATAGACAACCAACAGACAGCTGCTCCTGCAGATTCAGAACAAATAATGATTTTCTGTCAAGAAAGTCCCATGGAACGGCTTGAGTTGCCTTAGCAGACTGCATTCAAAAGGACTGCACAATGCCAGCTTACTCTACTCCCATCTCAAGTTATCCTCTTAACGTGGTGTTATGAAGCACATCATTGAACACACATGACAAAAGAAAAACATTGCTCTTAGTTCCTCCTAGTTTGAAGACAGTGGGCTTCCTGTGCTTCAGCTCATGTGACACCTATTTGAGCCTCTTCAAAGAAACGGACAGTTTTATTGTGGGCCCATTCATCACTTTCAGTGGGGTTTGAGCTCAGACATCCATGGGGTTTGTACTGGGTTCACTTGACAACCTCTCCAGAATTCATTTTTTTATTTCAGTGCAGCTGTACTGCTTATGTGTGTTCCCAGAACTAAAGCAGAGCATTGCCAGCTAACTCTTCTCTTAGCATCTTTATCACAGGACAGAAATTGAAGTTTCTATAATGTCACTGAGGTCGTACAGAGAATTATTTGATTGCATTAGATCAGATGATGCCGTCAGGTAAGTAATTATGCTATCCCGACCTAAAAATAAAAAGACAAAAAGTAGCATTTGTATAGCGCAGCTTTTTACCTAAAATGTGTTTTAAAATATTGTTTCTATCTATATCAAAATCAAATGCTTCTGACCAATCTTAATGATTGTTGTGGGTTCATGTTCATCGATTAATGTGAAAATATTCACTACTATACCAAGCATAATAAAAAGCATTGAAAGATCTACCTCAGGTTAGAAACTAGGAGCTCTTCAGTTTTCCCATTGTTGCTTTTTTAAACATTTCTGCTTAAAGAGATTGTAAGAAATACCAATATGAGTATTATTTGAAGTACATTCAACAGTAGGTTTTCAATAACAATTCACGTTTTAAAAGAACTAAATGATTAAAATATTACTGATATTAAACATCTGTCCAGCATGCTGAGCTAATTTAGTAATTTTATAGTATTGTGGGAACATTAAAAATTGCTTTTGGATGATAATTAAACTCCATATGTATTATGAGCAGAAGACAAACAATTCACTGTAATCACAGTTATTGCATTTTTGTGAAGGTTAGTCACACATCCTGAGAAGCACAGTATTTTATTGCAATTACATACCACTGTGAGATATTGTTGCTTTTAGTTCATTCAATATATACAAACCTCAGCATTCTCTCTAAATAGTGGAGCAGCAGATCTCATTGAAAAAAAGTTTAGAAACCCAGTCTCAGTGCTACTAATACAACACCTTTTACAGTCCTCCAGGAAATAAATAAGCATTTAATTAACTGCCTGAAAAAGGACCTGTAGTCACACACACTTACTGAAGCACTTTTCACCTTCTTCATTATGTAGCTACTTCAGCAGATGCAGGGCAGGTTCCCCTTACAAAGGGTGTTCCGATGTCTTGCAACAGCTATTCTAATAATGCCATTAATATAGTCATTGTAGTGTCATTTAGACCCACAGCAGACAAGCCCACCCATAAAATGAACCCCGATTCCCATCTCTTCCCTCCTCCTACCCAAGTTTCCATGCCTGTGAGCATACATCACAGAGGGAGCAACACTTTTTCTTACATCATCTTGAAGTCACACTGCAACCCGTTACAAAGGAGGCTTTCACGTGAGTTTAGAGATAATAGAACAAATGCACCCCCTTTGGATCCGGTGGCTGGATTTCACTTTCCTGTGCATCCTCTTCAGAATGCCAAATCAGCTACTGCGCACCAGAAACGGAAGGATGAGCTACCTCTGCCTCTCCTCCGCTTTCCCACCCCCATCCTTCCTCTCTCCACCTTCCCATAAAACTCCCACTAGGTTCAAACCGACGTGTTGAGGTACGTCGTCCCTGTGTTTCACTGTGCGGCTCTTCACCCCCAGGAGCGTCTGGCTCTTCTGGAGTTCTTTCAGCTGTGCATCTGGAGTAGTCTGACAAATTATTTAATAGCAATTATTGCCATTAAGTTATTTGTAGCAACATTTGAGTGGTTAATATGACTATTTTTTTTTTTTAAAAGTTCAAGTGCTGTTATTTCTTTGATTTCAGAATTTTGCACCTACAGCTTCCAAGGTCGGTTGCATCCTTACTTTTTTAATGGATTTGATTAAAACCAAGTTATTAAACTCTAGATGGTGTCAACTGAACCTGCCAGCATCCCGGTGGCTGACGCTGAGCCCCGGCTTGGGGGGTCCCGGCTCCTCCCGCCGGCGGTAGCCCCGACAATGCCGCACCGGGGCTGCGACTGCCGTGTAGCCGCCGGCCGGGGCCGGGACCCGGACCGGGACCGGGGCCGGGACCGGGGCGGCCGAGAGACGGCGCGGGGGAGCCCCGCTATCGATGCCGAGCTGGGGGTGCGGGGAAAGCCCGGCGCAAGGCAGCGGGGCCGGGGCGGTGGCGGCCGGCGCTGCTGACGGTGCTGGTCGGGGATTACCCCGGCGGGGAGCCGGGGGGGGCAAAGGGCGGAGCGAGCCGGGGCGGGGGCCGGGGCCGGGCAGGGCGCCTTTCAGGGGAACATGTCCCCCAACTACATGCGGAGCTTCTCGGAGGGATGTGTGAGTAGGCGGGGGGGGGGGGGGGGGGGGGAGGCGGGGGTACCCACAGCCAGGAGCGAGGGGTCCGGCCCCAAACCGCGAGGGAGCCCCGGGCCGTGCAGCAGCGGGGTTGCCCGTGCCGGGCGGGAGGGACGCCCACCGAAGGAGACCTGCGTGGGCGCTGGAAATGCCCCTGGAGCGGGTAGGGGGGGGTGGGGGGTGGGGTGGGAAGCTGGCGTTTAATTTGCGAGAATAAGGATGGTCGGGTTCGACGCCGGCGCGGCGGCCGTTGTTCCGCCGTCACCCGACAGCACCGTCAATCAGCATCAGCGGAGCGGCGGGAGTCGCGGCCGCCGCGCTCAGCTCCGGCCGTGCCCTCCGCAACAGCAGAATACAGATAAAGGCACTGAAACAAATTAACTGATAAGTGCTAGACAAATGAACGCTTGTATAAAATTAGTAGGAGCAATAAAGGGTTCTAAGCCGTTATTTTATTAGGTAGCTACTGCAGCCTGCATAGGCAAGCGCTCTCCTTTTAAAACAAGTAGAATAAAATAAATATTTTGGTTAATGAAAAAGAGCAAGTAGGCCTCCAACAATAATGCTGTTCATTTCTGTTCTCATGTTGAATAACCCTGTGATTTGCAGCTCAGGCCACCGACGGTAATTGGCCAATTCCACACTCTTTTCTTTGGCTCAGTGCGTATGTTTTTCCTTGGCGTTTTGGGCTTTGCTGTTTATGGAAACGAGGCCTTGCATTTCAGCTGTGACCCAGACAAAAGAGAGGTTAATCTCTTCTGTTACAACCAGTTCAGGCCTATAACTCCTCAGGTAATTCTCTTTTATTATTGTAGAATTTTGATGTTAAGAAAATAAACTGCAAAAATGAAACATAATCGTTCCATATAAGAAGTAGTAACTGATTGGGCTAATTATCACTTAGCTTTTTCATTAATATTTTCCTTTTCATCTGTGAATAAATATGGAGTTGTGCTTTTTATCCTCCATAACAACACTCACATTTCAGAAACCGACCAAACTTTTCAAACTAAAAAACAGCGGTTTTTACTTTTATTGTCATTGCAGTGTTTATACATTTGATATATATTAAAAACAGACTTGCAAAATGTTCCAACATGTGTGTGTTTTAGCTGCCCCGATGCAGTTGAAAATGATCTGACAGCTTCATTTCTGCTACATTTTAGGTATTCTGGGCATTACAGCTGGTGATTGTACTGGTACCTGGAGCCTTTTTTCACTTTTACGCTGCATGTAAGAGCCTCAAACAGGAAGAAAACCTCCAAAAGTCATTCTACACGGGTTTTTATATCTTCTCTGTTTTCTTAAGGATTATCCTTGAAGCTGTGGCTTTTTGGCTTCAGATTCAGCTCTTTGGTTTCAAAGTGAATGCAATCTACATGTGTGATATGGGAGCACTTGAAAAAAAGTTTAACATTGCCCAGTGCATGGTGCCAGAGCACTTTGAAAAGACAATTTTTCTTACTGCAATGTACACGTTTACTGTGATTACAGTGTTCTTGTGTGTTGCTGAGATTTTGGAGATCTCGTGTAGAAGGCTAGGTTTCTTAAAAACTCAATGATATCGTTCACTCCTAGTCATTTGCCACCCTGTCCACCTGGTTTTATAACAATGATTTCAAGTTGTAACAAAAAACATCTCCTGTCCTCTGTGCAGTGTTGCAGAAGAGAACCATGCTCATGATTACAGCTTCAGAGTAGACATCTGACACTTAGTCCCCTTCTAAAAACTACAGGATTATGTGAATAATTTTTGTTTCCATGTCAAGATCAAAGGCAGTAAAATTTACAAGAGCAATGTGTTTTCATGACCTGACACATAGAGTAGTTTTGCCTTTAGAAGAGTGTCTGTGTGTGAGGAAGAGGTTATTTATAAACATATTTTTATTCACAGCTTTTCTGAACACATGCAATTGGAGCTAATAAGGTTATTGACCTTCCAGGAAAAAATATTCCAAATTTCTCACATGTCCTTATGTCTTGAGAATTAAGCAGGAAGGGTAGATAATCTCTGGATACCAGAAAGCATTCAAACATTTTCCCAAGCAGTGCCACTGTTGCAACCTGCGCCTTAAAACCCCAAGGGCAGAGACTCCTGGCGAGGCTGTGGTGACAACATACTCACCGATACCAGCTTACTTTGCAGCAGTTCAGCTGCTGTCATCTGCTAGCTGTCAATTTCCTTTTAAAGGTGGAAGACTAGCATGATACTCTCTGTGGTGGCTGGAACGTCTTACCCTCATTATGTTTTGGTTTACAATGTAGAAGATTTTTACCAATTTTGTTTGATCACATTTTGAAGGAGTAAAAGGGCCATATGACTTAGGTTTGCATAAGAGGCTTAAAAAAATTAAAATAAAATCTCAGAGAAAAACCTTTTCTGGGTCCAGTCGTGCCTTAATTTCAGTGAGAGTTTTGATTGTGTGTGACTGCAGAATTGGGCTCACAGAATTTTTTGCTGTGTGTGTCACATCCGACTTCTTATTGCTCTGATCAAAGCTGATAGAATAACAGTTAAAAAGAAGTCTGCATACTAAAATTATTCCATGTACTATGTGTATTTGTATAGGTTAGGTCTTGCATTCTATATGGCTATCAGATGTTTTCTTGTGCGACAGTTTCTTCTTAAGGACTAATAGACAAAATTATTTAGTTCCTTGTGCTGAAGTGAGGTAATGGAAAAAAAAAAAACAAAAAAAAAAACAAAACAACAAAAAACAAACCCAAAATGAAACAAACAATCAAAAAAACCACCAAAACCAAAAACACATTTCAGAACTGGAAAGAAAGGAGGAGGTAGTTTCTTGTATAAAATATGTACAAATAGCAATCATAACAATTGGCTATTTTCCATTTGTTTTTCAAATACCTTCAATTTCTAGGAGGAAAAATTGAAGGTTTCTTACTCTTTCATAATTTTCTACAGCTAGTAGATTGAACAATTTCTGTTCTGAATCTCAGTGAAACAAGAGACTCAGAGTCATCACTAATTAACAGTGATCCAGGAACCAGCAAAGTCAGAAGGAATCCATCAGCATCTTTGGACAGTTTGAGGCCTGTAACACTGAAGGCAAGAACATCTTTTCTTTTTGAATTAAATTTAAATTACATGAAAAAACATTCAGCATAAAAGCATAAAAAGTTGAGATCCTGGTGTCAGCGTTTGGGTCCTTTCAGGAATTCCTGGAAAATTCTGGAAAAATTACTAGAAAATCTTTTAACCCCAACAGTTAGTTAAGCAGTCCCAAACAAGGTTGGGTATAAGAGCTTTGTAATCCTCACACACAAAAGCAGTCTTCGTTACATAAAGAGAATTGCATGATTAAGGTGTCTTGGATTTGATTGATTCTGGGCCATTTAAACCAAAGTGGGTCACAACTAGATGTGTGATTTTTCTAATATGCTGATCAAGAACAAGATGATAAATTTCAATACATTCACTGTATTAAAGCACTAACGTATTATTTTTCCCCTATGGAAACAAGTTATATGTTGTCTTAAATATATGTCCAGTCAACACTATCAGATTTGTGCAATATTAAATTATCTACTTGATATTTGCAAGCATTACAAGTGGAATAAGAATAACTGTGCTGACTTCTTGTGTGAATAATATATCACGAGCTTCGGTCAATACATGCTTAATTTTTCGTTGTATACATCGGTACCCATCTGGAATTATTCTTTGTGAATTAAACTTGTAATCTCAGGTTAAAAAAATCTTTTTTTGTTTATAAATAAAATATGTATATTACTACTAAAAAGAAGAATTAACTCCCATGTGCTGGGTGCAGTTGTGACCAACTGTACTCAAATCACACTTCAGATGTCTGTATAATAATAAAATAACTTCATCACAACCTTGTCAGTGTCTTTCCTGGTGCTTAATATTTCCACTGATTGTTATTCTTCTTCTGTAGATTTCAAAACACTTCAGAAAAGTCAGAGGAGTGCCGAAACCCCCTGCCCCTCAGGAGACTTCCCTGTTACCATCAGTAGCCTTGCAGAGCTGTGACTGGCACAGGGCTGCCTGAGGACCCCCTGGGGGCCTCTAGGAGCTGGATTACCCAGCACCACGCCCTTTCCCTTTGTGGTCAAAATCTGGAACATATCAAAACATGTTCTTCTTCCAAATGAGATACAATGCAGATGTTTTTTCTGCATTTCCTGTGAAATTAAAATTGTCAAATTCCTCAGTTTCAGTTTTTCATTTAAAAACAAAATGTGCATTATCACCTTTTAGCACATATATTTTCCTGTCACTGATTCCATCGTAAGTTTCTGGAGCATGTTGATGGAGATACTATGTCCAACTAAAGAAACCATTTCCCTACGGTTGTCAGCACTTCTCATTCCTATATTTGCCATTTATTTTCCCGACACCCATTGTATTCTCAGTGTCTCTAAAGTTTTCTTTCTCCTAGTTTTCCAAACTCCCACCACTTTTATCGTTATTTACATTGCTTTCTACCAGCTTCCCTCCACCCCTGCTCCCTCTGAGATTTATAACATGCCTGCATGCTTTTCTCAGTATTGCACCGTTTTTAGCTCAAACGATTAGCAAATATTTGAGACGATCCTGAAGACTTTTTTTGCCATTATGAAAGGAATGATACAATACACTTGAGTATTCTTTGATTCAATTCTATTTCTTTACACAGTGAACATAAAGTCCCATCTTCCCAAACACAGTAGGAAGCATTTTCATTGCTTACATCAGGGTCACATTATAAGTGCTTCTTTGACTTCTTTGTTGCTTTCCATCATACCCTATCCGCCTCATTTTCACAGACAGCACTCAAAGCAATCCCCAGCTCATGTGTTTGCAGTCAGCTTTGTCTCTGGCCAGACATCATGCTCATTTCAGTTCTCACTTAACGAAGAGCCGTAATTGTTCCCTCTATCATCTTCAATGAAACAAGCTAAATATACCCAGTATACATCAAAGGTATAGTTGCTCTGGGCCAGGCAACTTCTAGTACACCACCACAACATCCCAGTCCTATAACCACTCCTTGGTCTGTTCTGCTCTTGTCTTTCTTTCTTCTGTTCAGCCACCATTTCCCTTCCATTCTCTTTTCAGCTCTCTCCCGTGATAGCAATGAGACAATGCAGCCACCTCTCCTACCCTGTGCCTCTCTCCAACACACATCTTTCTTTATGACATACTCTCGCCTTGCAGCCAGCCATTTTGAGACTAGGAGAAAGTTTGGCAACAGGGCTATTTAGAAGAAATCTAACAATCATTTAACTATGCTGTCAGAATGAGTAAATGACAGGCAGTGAAATAATTTAGGTTGCAATTTGTGAGATCCATTTGAAACAATTTTGCTTCAATTGTTCCCATTTCCCTTGCTGTTCTTATCTCCTCTCCCCAGAAAGAGAAATCCCCGGAGGTTCCTCTGAGAAAAAGTTATCTGGGGAGCGGTGATCCTGCGAGATGTACTTTCCAGGGCTGGTGGGCTTGCTGACGGCTGCCAGGAAGTCACCCGGCCCGGCGAGGGGCTACTAGCCAGGCCAGGGTGGCACAAGGCTCCTCCAGTGAGCCCAGGGGCAGAGGCCCTGGAGCGGAGGTGAGGTTCAGTGCTCCAGGGCCTCCCGGACCACCAGTGAGCCTCGGGGCAGCCCAAGAGAAAGGTTTTTCAACCTGAAAAGGGATTTTTTTTATTATTTTATTTTGCAGCTCTACCTCCCGGGGTAGGGTCTGCAGGGCTCTTTGGGCTGACGCGCCAAAGGAATGGGCAGAGCAGGGCTGGGGCGGCCGCAGCCGCTCGGCGCTGGGCCGCCAGGTCCAGGGGAAGCCGTCCGCCCGGCCTCCCACTCAGCAGGGGGCGCTCTTCCCGGGCGCCCCGCCACCGGCGGCGGCGTCTAGCCCGCCCGCCGCGCACGCGCCCCGGAAGCGGAAGCGCACGAGCGGCCGGGAGCGGGAGCGACGGGCGTCTGTCGCTCACCACCCACCCGCCCGCCCGCCCGCCGTTGTCGCTGCCCGTCGCCGCCCGCGCGATGGCGGCTGCGGCGCTTCCTCCGCTGCCGCCGCAGTTCAAGAGCATCCAGCACCATCTGCGGACCGCGCAGGAGCTGGACAAGCGCGAGCCGGTGGTGGCATACTACTGTGAGTGAGGCCCCGGCCCCGGCCCCAGGCCGCGTCCCTCTGCCCACCGGGTGTACGGGCAGGCGGGGGAAGCCCCACCTCCGGGGGCGGTGCGGGGGACCTCCCGCCCGCCCCGGCCCGTCGCTTGTGCGCTTCCTTTTCCCCGCAGAGTTAAGCCGCTTCGCAGTCGCAGCGGATGGGCTTGTACGCACGGCTGTAAAGTCGTCGTCTGCCTGTGCTGGGATAGTCCCAACCAGTATCGCAAAAAAGATAACTTTCGAGAGGCTTTCCAGGGTTTTTCTTCTGCTGAAAATGCCTCCTTTCTGTCCTGTATCTAAGTAAGCAATTTGGGTTTGAGAGTCTTCGATTCCTTCAATAGTGTTAATTTTTATTTTCTATGAGGCTTTATCCCGTCTTGAGGCATCTCTGAGCGGGAGAGTGGGTGGCTCTTTTTGTTTCATTGAAATGATCACAGCAAAATCTTACTGTAAATCTTCAAATTTAATATGTAAGTTTTTCAAGCTAACTTACGACTTCTAAGCTAATGCTCATCAGAGAGGTCTGTGAGCTTTTCCCAAAGGCTTTCCACAGTTAGTTAAGAAACACAAGCCTGTTCGTAGTCTTAAATTCCTGTCACAGTTAATCACCACAGTTACAAGATTTCTAAGACTAGATGATTACCAGAAATGTATATTCACGGGGTTATTTATCTATTTATTTATTTATTTGCAAGGAGGTTACTGGAGGGGGGGAGTTTACTTGGCAACAGCTTGTCTTCAAAAAGAGTTAAATAAAAAATAGAGGTGGAACTGTGAGCTTAATTTGTAAGGCAGTCTTAAGTTTAGAAGGATGAACTTATGAAATTCAAGCCTCAGAAAGCTCTGAAAAAACCTGTCAGTTCTGTCAGAAAAAGAATTTTAGTTTTTATATGTTACAGAGGAACACTGTGCTAATGTGAAAAAGTGTCACCAGAGAAGTGAGGTAGTTACATATTAGAACACTGGATGTTCTCAATAATACTTATTCTTTTTCACTGGAAAAACACAGGACGAATCATAGTTTGTGTGGCAGAAAGCACCAGCTAGGTTAAGTTGCACCATTTTTTTTGTTTTTCTTTATTCTTTGGAGTATTTTAGGACATGTAACACCTTGTCTGGCTATACAATGAAATTACTAGCATTTACTGTATGTAGCAAAATACAAGTCTGTTTTTATTTTTAAACAGAAATGTTTTGGTGACTGATCTCTCTTTTTCTTAATGTCTTCCATTCTAAAACTTAATGTAGGTCTTAGTCTATGGGAAAAAAACCAAAAACACTATGTTGAATATTTAGCCTTTTCTGTAAAGTTCTTTGCATTGTCTGTCCTAAGTAGCCTGAAAATTTGCTTATCTTATTTTTTCATCTGAGTATTTCAACATATCTGATTCATTACTGAGTATGGTGAAGACTATGTTCTAGAGAGATCTTCCTCATTACATTATTACATAAAGTAAAAAGCAGTGACACCTCTTTTTCAAGACAGGTCTTGCTTGGATCCTTTGCTTTTTTAAATACACAAAGTAGAAGAATTAATTTTCACCAGTGTTCCGCTGATGACACTTATTTCCTCACCTGGTAGATGAGTTTGTCTAGAGTAACTAAAATGCAGAATTCCTGTTTCATTGAAATTTTTTTGTTGTTGTTATTTTCATTCTGGTTTTGAAGCAAAAATAAGGTTTATGAACCATTCATTTTGGCAGTTGTGGATTTGAAACAATTATGTGGAATCCCAAAGTATTAACTATTAATATTACTACTGATAAAAAAAATGTACTGTGTATACTTCTAGCATGCTATGAATAATAAAAGCTTTTCAAAAAAGTGTAAGTCGGGGGATACAAAAACATTTTCAGGATACTTTTCAGATAATGTTTGAAAGCAACACAGATTTTGTGCGGAGTTCAAGCAACGTTTCTCATTAGATGCTTCACTGAAGAAACAGTGAGCATCTCTTTGTTGAGCTTTTGAAATGTGTTTCTGAGGAGCTCTATACGTTTGCTGTAATGTACTGTGTGGAAGGAATAGTGTGAGGAAAGCTCGGTGTGCGCTGGAATGCATGGTGGCCTCGGCTGCGGGCCTGTGCCTGGCACCGTGCGTGTCCAGGGACCAGGCGGGTGGTGGGGCGCAGCAGCCAGCTGAAGATACTCGGCGGTGAAAGGTCCTGTGGTGGGAGAGTGCTGCCTGCTCCATCACAAGGCTGCTTGCGCAGCCGCTGTGTGAGGGGGAACATCTGTGTTTTGGTCATATGATGGCTGTGACAGTCTGAAGAAAAGAGCGAGGTGTTTATAGCTTTGGAATGCTGCCAGAGGTGGTTCATCTCTAGAAAAAAGGTTTGATCCTAATATTAATGTTTCCACAGCACAGTAGTTTTCAGTGTGGACACGTGTTTGCTAGGTTTTATGTACATTTTAGTTCAATTCCACTTGTATCTTTCTGATAATAAGAGCTGCAGCATAAACTAATTTGAATATCAGAAGCAAGTGAGCTCTGGTTAGATGTGTTTGCAACCTAAAATATTATTTTCTATAGCTTAGCAGTAAAATTGTCAGGAGGAACTACTTATTACTTGTGTTAATATTTTTGTCTCTCATCAGCATCCGCTGGTGCTAGAGGTGTGCTCCTAAAGATGGGTATTTGAATGGCAGTTACACATTTTATTTGCATACACTATTTTAAATTTTTTCTTTTATGCTTTTTGGATGTAGTCCATTTGAAGCATTAAACTAAC